TAAGGCTGTAAGCCACTAACAATATATTCCTAAAATTTAGCACCCACTACTTACTCAATCAAATATCCCTAAAGACTAGGACAAACTCAAACAAATCAGTTACCAACATAAATAATATAATAAATTAATATTTCTAATATTCTCCCTTAAACTGAAAGTTTTCAAACATTCAGTTTATCACACACTCCCAACAATGCTCTGAGCTTCTGAAATGCAGCCAGCTTCAATGGCTTGGTCATTATATCGGCAATTTGGTCTTCACTTCTACAGTAGTGAAGTTCAATCACTCCATCCTTTGTGAGATTCCGGATAAAATGAAATTTCACGTCTATGTGTTTGCTTCTTTCATGTAAAACAGGATTATTGGACAGTTTGATAGCTGAACTGTTGTCGCAATAAATTGCAGTAGCATTAACTTCCCTTTCCTGCACAAAAATCAGCCCTTCAAGTATCCTCCTAAGCCAAATTGCTTGACAAGCACATGCTGTTGCAGCAACATATTCTGCTTCGGTAGTTGATAGGGTGACTATCTCTTGTTTCTTTGATGACCATGAGATGGCTCCAGAACCCAGCATAAAGACATAGCCAGAAGTACTCTTTCTATCATCAATATCTCCAGCATAATCACTATCTGTATAGCCAATCAGATCCGAATTTTCTCCCTTCTTGTAGAAAATTCCAAAACTAGTAGTACCTCGCAAGTACCTGAGAATTCTCTTTGCAGCCAAGAGATGACTCTCCTTAGGATTTTCCATATACCTGCTGATCAAACTTACAGCATGCATGATATCAGGCCTCGTTCTTGTTAAATACATCAGACTCCCCACGATTTGCTTGTAAAGTTGGCTGTCAACCTTCTTTTCATCCGAATTTCGAACAAGTTTCAAGCCTACTTCAGTAGGTGTAGCAGCACAATTGCAATTTGACATCTGAAATCTGTTCAGAATCTCTTGCACATACTTCTTTTGTGAGATAAAAATGCCAGCTTTTGATTGCACTACTTCTATGCCGAGAAAATAATGCATCTTCCCTAAATCAGACATATCAAATTCCAACATCATAGATTGCTTGAACCTTTCAAACATGCTGAAATCGTTCCCTGTATATATCAAATCATCCACATACAAGCACACGATCAACAATTTTCTTCCTTCCCCACTTTTCACAAAAAGTGTGTGTTCAAAAGGACATTTCTCAAACCCTTCCTTCAGGAAGTAAGCTTCAATTCTACTGTACCAAGCGCGTGGTGCTTGTTTTAATCCATACAAAGCCTTCTTTAGTCTGTAGACTTTGTGCTCACATCCAAACTTCATGTATCCAGGAGGTTGATCAATGAACACCTGCTCCTTCAAATCACCATGTAAAAATGCTGATTTTACATCCAATTGGAAGATGGGCCATGAATTTTGTGCAGCTACAGCAACCACCATTCTAATTGTATCATGTCTTGCAACTGGAGCAAATACTTCAGTATAGTCCACCCCAAACTCTTGCTTGTAACCTTTAGCGACAAGTCATGCCTTGTACTTGTCAACTTCTCCATCTTCCTTGAATTTTGTCTTATACACCCATTTCACACCAATTGTCTTTTGCCTTTGTGGAAGATCAACCAACTCCCAAGTGTTGTTCTTCTCAATAGAAGCAATTTCTTCATCCATTGCTTTTTTCCACTTTGGTTCCTTAATAGCTTCTTCAAAAACCATGGGATCACAATCCGTAAGAAATGCAAAGTGTGTTAGTTGACATTCTGATTGATTTACTCCAGTCACCTCATAATCAATCATCCAACCAGGTCTTCTTTTATCACGCCGAGGACGAGGTTCTGAAGTTGATGTTGTTGGTGAGCGACTTCTTTTATCACACCGAGGACGAGGTTCTGAAGTTGATGTTGCTGGTGAGCCAAGAGTCTGCACAGAATTATCAGCTGCTGTTTCTGCGGGCTGCTGTTGTGTGGACCGGTGCTGCACACTTGAAGTTTCAGGCTGCTCATCTTCAATTTCATCAAAATCCACCAGTTTCTCTTGATGCACAACAGCACTCTTATTCGCTGCCCAAAAATTTTGTTCATCAAATATCACATCACGGCTAATTATAATCTTCTTGGTGTTAGGATTATAAAGCTTATATGCTTTTGACTGATTACTAATACCAAGAAAAATACACTTCACCCCCTTGTCTTCAAGTTTTGTTCTTCTTTGATCCGGGACATGAGCGTAGGCAACACACCCAAAAATTCTGAGGTGATTGACAGCTGGTTTGTTTCCACTCCATGCCTCCTCAGGAGTCATGTTTTGAACAGAAAAGGTCGGACTTCTATTCAAAATATGGACGCTCCAATTCACTGCTTCGGGCCAAAAAGTTTTAGAGATTCCACTTCTATTTAGCAAACTTCGAACCATGTTCATAATAGTGCGATTTTTCCGCTCACAAACACCATTTTGCTGAGGTGAATATGCTGCTGTAAGCTGCCTTTGAATTCCATGATTCTCACAAAACTTTGCGAATTCATGCGACGTATACTCTCCACCACGATCTGTTCGCAGAACCGTAATCACACATCCACTTTCCTTTTCAACAGACACTTTAAATGTCTTGAAAACATCAAATGCTTCAGATTTTTCTTTCAAAAAATACACCCATATCTTCCTACTGTAATCGTCAATGAAAGTAATGAAGTACCGTTTACCTCCATTCGAGATTGGATTTAGAGGGCCACAAATGTCCGAATGAACCACCTCTAGCACTTTCTTGGCTCTGATGGATTTTCCAGATGGAAAAGAGTCTCGATGCTGCTTGCTGACAGCACAATCTTCACAAATCTGAGTTGGAGGTGCGATTTCCGGAAGACCTGTCACCATATTTTTCTGCTGCAGTGTTTTCAATCCTCCAAAATTGAGATGACCATAGCGAAAATGCCATAACCATGTTGAGTCTTGAATCTTTGCTGAGAAACAAGAACCGGTGGATCTATGCAGATTTAACGGAAACAACCGATTATCTGTCATTTTAACTTGAGCAATCAACCCTAATTTTTCGTCTTGAACCCGACAAACACCATTCTTGATCAGAATCTTGTACCCCTTTTCTTGAAGTTGTCCTAGACTAATCAAGTTGGTCTTCAATTCTGGGACAAAGAAGACATCGGAGATCTTGTGACTTTTATTTCCCTTGGCCTTGAAAATAATATTGCCCCTTCCAGCAACATTAATTTTAGAGTTGTCGCCGAATTTGACGGTGCTCAGAAAAGACTCATCCAAATCTGAAAATATTGTCTTATCACCGCACATGTGATTGCTGCAGCCCGTATCCAAATACCACAGATTATCTGGAATTTCCTCGGTTACATTGCACACCATCAAGAGAGATTCCTCTTCTTCTCTTTCTGCAAAGTTGGTCCTTTCTCCATTTTGGCAATTCAAGTAAGTTCTACATTCATTCTGATAATGACCATATTTATGACAGCGATAGCACTCAACATTAGATTTTGGGCGACAATTGTTTGAATGATTACCTCCACGATAGCCCATTCGACCTCTTCCTCTTCCTGAGTTGTCTAAATTCTGGTGGTTGGCGGAATTGTTGCTATGGTTGCTGCTACGACCATTATCGCCTCTACCGTAACCGCCTCGACCTCTTCCTCTGCCCCTGCCCCTGTCTCGGCTTCCTCTAAAATTAGAGGTATTTGAATAAGTCGAGGCTTTAAGTGCTTGCTCCTATTTGTCTTGTTTGCTGATTTTATTCTCATGAACCAACAAGGAACTTTGCAATTCATCAATCGTGAGTGAATCAATATCTTTGGATTCTTCAATGGAGCAAACAACAAAATTGAACTTAGTTGTCATTGATCTAAGAATCTTCTCAATAATGGTCACATCATCCATCTTGTCTCCATGAATTCTCATTTTGTTGGCGATGATCATCGTTCTTCCAAAGAAATCTGTGACAGACTCATCCGACTTCATGCGTAAAGTCTCAAATTCACTCCGTAGGGCTTGAAGCTGCACTCGTCTTGCCCTAGCGTTCCCTTGAAATTTCTTCTTCATTGAGTCCCAAATCTGTTTGGAGGTTTCTTTGCTGAGAATCGTCTCCAAAGTTGCTCGATCTATGGCCTGAAACAAGTAGTTCTTGGCTTTAAGATCCTTGAGTTTCAGTGCCTCAAATTCTGCCTTCTGCGCATCTGTTTGAACTGCTCCCTTCACAGGCTCTGTAAATCCGGAGTCAACGACTTGCCAATATTCTTTGGATCTCAAGAAATTCTCCATTAACATGCTCCAATGGTCGTAATGACCATCAAAACGAGGAATTGCAGCCTGCACAAAATTCTCATTGGAAGATGCCATCGATGATGTTTTCGCTCAAATCTCACTGTGTTTCACTCAGATTTTTTTTCTAAATGAACCAGCTCTTGATACCACTGTTAACTTAGAGTGCAGAGGCACCGAAAAAACTTCTGTTTTATTTATTGATGCGTTAACATAACAAGAATTATAAACTGCTTAATAAGGCTGTAAGCCACTAACAATATATTCCTAAAATTTAGCACCCACTACTTACTCAATCAAATATCCCTAAAGACTAGGACAAACTCAAACAAATCAGTTACCAACATAAATAATATAATAAATTAATATTTCTAATATATGCAAGTGAAGAAACAAATGCAATTTTATTGGACTGTTTATATAGTATAAAAATCATGTCATGATGACTAATAATGTCTCTTGTTTAATGATAGATTTTTATTTTTGCTTTGTCAATGTCAATTTTTCCTTTCAGTCACCTTTTTTTATACATAATTTATGTTCAACAAAATACAGTGAGAAATGGTTATGATTAATTTCAGTGGCAAGATGCACAATTGCAGTGGTGGAGGAAAAACCACAAATTCATATTTATATAATATATAAATAGTCATCAATCAAAATAAAATAGACCAGTTGTTTTGTCAATAAAAATATAGTTTAAAATAAAAGAGATAAATATAATCTTACAATAACGGGTTAAATAAAATTACGAGGCAAATGTCCTTTCCGAAACTTCTTTGCGGAGAATGTTCGAATAATATCAATATCGTCAAGTGATTTGAATATCTTCCTCTCGGTGTAACATATCATCAAGTCATTGAACCACACATCGTTGATCTTATTGCGCAATTTAGACTTGATAATCTTCATTGTTGAAAAGGCTCTTTCAACGGATGTTGCCGACACCGGCAATATCAAAGCTAACTCAATAAATTTATAAACTAATGAAAATACCAAATGCTTCTCAGTTTGAACCATCTTCAAACTTTGAACATCTTCACAACTCGAAAATGAAACATTTCTTCTCACTTGAAGAACATAAGTGTCATGTTGATCCCTAATTCTTCCTCGGTAATCATTAGAAAAGTCTGCATGATAAATATCAGCAAGACAATCAAACTTGGAGAAAGAGTTCTTGTGGTCAAAACGTGAGAAGCAATCAAGTATAACGTTACTTCCTTCACTAAAGCGATGACCCATCTCCACGCATATTTTGTCAATAGCAACATAAATTTTTTTTGCACGGTAATGATGAAAATTAGTGATAGTCCTCTCTTCTACCCTTGAACGTCCCCGAACCGGTATTTTGCCATCCATATTTGGCACTAGAATACCTTTAGCAACACAAAAATCTTGAACATCAGCAAATAAAGTATCCCAACCACTCTCTCTCGTTATGGCCAATCGAATTTTGACAACATCAACTAATTCCATGACAATCACAATATTAAGATCTTTTCTTTGCAAGACATTTGAAAGCTCGTTTATGATACCAAACAACTTTAACATTAACTTCAAAATGAAAGCAAATTTAAAGCTTTCTATTTTTTTATATCAAACCCGCTGCTTGAGATGGTCCACGTCCATCTTCATCACCCCTACTAAGCACTTTTAAAACGGAGGATCACATTTGATTCAAACGAAGCAATGTAGTATGATATGAACCCCATGTAGTATCCTCGGGTCTAGTGATACTAGATGATTGGTGCAAACCCCTTCCTCTAGATATCTCACCACTCTCAAGTTTATTTAAAATATCTTGGTTTTGTGCATCCGTCAAAGCATCCCTCCTCTTACAAGATGCACTTGTTGTGTTCACAATCAAGGAGATGTACTCAAAGAAATCATGAACATATGAACAACTACTAGCAAAAGACACAACAACCAATTGCAAACGGAGGATCACATTTGATTCAAACGAAGCAATGTAGTATGATATGAATCCCATGTAGTATCCTCGGGTCTAGTGAGACTAGATGATTGGTGCAAACTCCTTCCTCTAGATATCTCACCACTCTCAAGTTTATTTAAAATATCTTGGTTTTGTGCATCCGTCAAAGCATCCCTCCTCTTACAAGATGCACTTGTTGTGTTCACAATCAAGGAGATGTACTCAAAGAAATCATGAACATATGAACAACTACTAGCAAAAGACACAACAACCAATTGCAAACGTTGAGCATAACAATGGACATAGAAAACATAAGGGTTTTCATCTAGAATCTTTCTTTGCAAACAATTAAATTCACCTCTCATATTTGAAGCTCCATCATATCCTTGCCCTTGAAATCGATAACGTGTACTTATCAAGAATACTATAAAGAGCATCCTTTAATGACTCAGACGTAGTATCTTTGCCATGATGTAGAGCAATAAATCGTTCCACAACATTTCCTTTGTCGTTCAAAAATCTAAAACAAATTCAACAAGTTTACTTGGCGGCATAGAGAATAATAGGTAATAAAAATTGGAAATTTGAAAATACAACTACTAACCTCAACATCACTGTCATTTGCTCTTTGACGGATATATCACATGACTCGTAATAAGCACGCAGAATTGTCTATCACCAGGCTCTTCCATAATCAACTTGGTAACTTTATGTGCACAACACGTTGCAAGCTCCTTTTGAATGTCACCGCAAGTCATTGTGCAATTTTTTCCACCACGGTCAAAAGCATCCCTCACTTGTTCATTATGAAATTTTACCGAATCTATCATCTCTCTAAATTTTTTTCCCTTATTTAAACACCAATTAGAATGAATGTAGTTTTGGGAGAAAACAACGATGTATATCTGAGAACCTTGAATTGCTCGCACTAATTCTGGTCTAAGTTTCTTTCCCTTTTGAAGATTGTGATCGTCAAGAAAAGCGTTAATTCTAGTGTTGGAGAGTGCGACATAATAATGAGAAACTAAATTGACATGAGTGTCTTTTCCTCTGAAATTAATGAAAACTTCATAGATCCATTTGGATGTGAAACATGGAGACGAAGGAGGAGCAACAAAAATAAGATGAGACATGGATTAGTAGTTATGAGAGAGGAAAATGGGGATACTGATGATGAGTGATGAAGAGCATGTAAAGTCCAAGCTCAACAATGTTTTAGAGCTTTTTTATTTTGGTCCACTACATTCTCATACACCGTATATAACAAGTGTTGAAATACAAGAGACTAAGAGACATTTGAATAAACCGTGTGTTTTGAAAAGCACTACGGAGACATTATTATATATAGATAGATTACAACTAATTACATGATATAGTCGATGTGGGACTATTCTATATACAAATATTCTTAACACTATATATATTTCCAAATATCAACACTCCCCCTCAAGCTTGAGCATATAAATCAAATGCACCAAGCTTGTTACATATATAATTAATTCTAGGACTTCGTAGGGATTTTGTAAATACATCTGCCAATTGATCATTAGAGTTGACAAAGCTTGTGACGATGTCGCCTGACTCGATCTTCTCTCTGACAAAGTGACAGTCTATCTCAATATGTTTGGTCCTCTCGTGGAAGACTGGATTTGAAGCAATGTGCAATGCAGCTTGATTATCACAAATAAGTATCATTGGTCTTGCTTCTTCAATTTGAAGTTCCTTGAGCAACTGTTTTAACCAAATGAGTTCACATGTTGCCATTGCCATGGCCCTATACTCTGCCTCGGCGCTTGATCTTGCAACTACATTTTGTTTCTTACTTTTCCAAGATATAAGGTTTCCTCCAACAAGTACACAATACCCAGAGGTAGAGCGTCTATCAATGGGTAACCCTGCCCAATCAGCATCGGAGTATCCAATTATCTGATTATGTCCTTTATCCTCATACAGAAGACCTTTTCCTGGAGCACATTTGATGTATCTCAGAATCCGGATAACAACATCCATGTGTTCCTGACAAGGGGAATTTAAGAATTGACTTACCACACTGACTGCAAAAGAAATGTCCGGACGAGTGACTGTGAGATAATTCAACTTTCCAACCAATCTCCTATACCTTCCTGAGTCAGATAGAGGCTCCCCCTGATTGGGTAGTAGTTTAACACTTGGATCCATAGGAGTATCGGCTGGTTTAGCATTTAACAAACTTGTTTCTTCCAAAATATCCATAGCATATTTCCGCTGAGAAATCACTAAACCATCTTTAAATTGAGCTATTTCAATACCCAAGAAATAACGGAGCTTACCAAGATCTTTTGTCTGAAATTGTTTCGAGAGATGTTGTTTCAACTGGAGTATTCCCTGTTGATCACTACCAGTTATGACAATGTCATCTACATACACAATAAGATAAATACACCCTTGGGGTGAGTGACGATAAAAAACAGAATGGTCAGCTTCACTACGTATCATACCAAATTGTTGTACTACAGTGCTGAATCTGCCAAACCAAGCTCTCGGGGATTGCTTAAGACCATAAAGAGACCTGTGTAGCCTACACACCATATTTGATGACTCCCCCTGAGCAACAAACCCAGGTGGTTGCTCCATATATACTTCTTCTTCAAGATCACCATGTAAGAATGCATTTTTAATGTCAAGTTGATGAAGAGACCAATGTCGAATGGCTGCAATGGCTAGAAGAAGTCTAATAGATGCCATTTTGGCTACAGGCGAAAAGGTATCACTATAATCCAACCCAAAAATCTGAGTGTATCCTTTGGCAACCAAGCGAGCTTTAAATCGATCAATCTTACCATTTGGACCAACTTTCACTGTATAAAGCCAACGACAACCTACTAAATATTTTCCACGGGGTAGAGGAACCAATTCTCAGGTACCATTGCTTTGAAGAGCACACATTTCATCAATCATTGCTTGCCTCCACTCAGGGTGAGATAATGCTTCACTTGGAGTTTTAGGAATAGAAACAGAAGACAAAGAAGACAAGCAAGTATACTGCAAAGGGGAAAGACGATGATAACATAAATCAATATAATGTGGAGAAGGATTTCGTGTTTGACGTATACCTTTTCGAAGGGCAATCGGAAGATCAGACTCAGGTTGCAGGATCGGATCCGGTGATGGCGAGAGCGTCGGAGGAGAGTCCGTAGTGACCTCAGGGACAGGTACGACTTCAGGGACAGATACGACTTCAGGGACAGGGACAGGTATGACAGACGTTGGGTGACGACGCTGATATGTTTGAAGTGGGCGAGGAGTGGGGGGGTCAACCGTAGGGGTATCTAATGGGTCCGGTTCCCTAGAATGATGGGGGATAATGACAGATGGGACTTCCAGAAGAGGTGTCGGAATACTTTCCTGTAGAGGTTCCGTAGTTACTTGGCTGGACTCGAAATATGGAACAGACTCGAAGAAGGTAACATCGGCCGATACGAGGTATCGTTGTAGAGTATGTGAGTAGCAACGATAACCCTTTTGCGATCAATGATAGCCAAGAAAGACACACTTTAGTGATCGAGCTGACAGTTTATCAAGACCAGGGGAGAGATTGTGTATAAAACACGTAGACCCGAAGACTCGAGGAGGAATTGGGTGGAGTGGAGAGTTTGGAAACAAGATTGAATGAGGGATTTTATTATTAAGGATCGATGAGGGCATGCGATTTATGAGGTAGCATGCCGTGAGCACCGCATCTCCCCAAAACCGGAGAGGAACATTACCATGGAAAAGTGGGGTCCGAGTGGTTTCTACGAGGTGCCGATTTTTGCGTTCGGCTACCCCGTTTTGTTGGGGTGTATGAGGACAAGATGTTTGGTGCAAAATACCATTGGATGACATAAATGTTTGAAATTGTTGGGATAAATATTCACGTGCATTGTCACTTCTTAAGGTACGAATAGACAAACCAAATTGGGTTCTTATTTCTCGATAAAATTGTTCAAAAATTGAAAACAATTCAGATCTATTCTTCATTAAAAATAACCACGTGCAACGTGAAAAATCATCAATAAAGGTGACAAAATACCTAGACTCAAGAGTAGAGACAGTACGCGAGGGACCCCAAACATCGGTGTGAACTAAAGCAAAAAGGGACGAAGCTCGTTTGTTGACTCGATTGGGAAATTGACTACGAGTGTGTTTCCCTAACTGGCACGACTCACAAGGTAAATTAGATACCTTCGATAAATTTGGCACCAACTTATGTAATTTGGAAAGACTGGGATGACCTAACTGAGCATGGATAGTGAGTGGAGAATCTTTGGTTAAGCATGTCTGAGATGACAATGAGAGGTAGTAAAGGCCTTGAGACTCATATCTGACGCCAATCATCTTTCCCGAACTCCGATCCTGCAGGGTAACATTATTGTTAGTGAAGGTGATACTACAATCAAGAGAACGAGTTAAACGACTGACTGAAAGTAAATTAAATGGACAATTAGGTACATAGAGGACAGAAGTAACAGATAGAGAAGGTAGAATTTGAACAGTACCAATCCCTTCGGATCGGGTTTGAGAACCATTGGCAGAAGTTATAGTAGGCAAGAAACCAGAGGTAGAGAGGGAAGAGAATAAATTTTTATTACCAGTAACA